AGAAAGCAGCCGACCGCTGCAGGCTGAGCTCTTTCCAGGTGTACTCAGGCTGCGAACCCAGGGCTGAGAGCCGCGGCCCCAGCGCTTCTGACTGGAAAGGTGACTTGCTTGGCGGCTTTTGTTTCCCTTTCTCACGCTTCTTACTCTTGCAAGGGCAAAGGTCTTTCCACGCGAATAGGGCGTTCTTTCCCACCGGCTGCGCTATTTCCATTATACTTTGGTTTGGAGTCTGTCTTCAGGAAGATCAAATTTAAATGTTTCTTCTCTTGCCTTTTTCTGAATTAGCAACGGCATGGGCCAGGCCTCGCAAGGAGTGCCCGGGTGATGGAGGGGCAGAGTCCTATCTGGAGTGTCTGAGCGACTCCTGTTTTCTTGGGAGAAACGCAGCCGGGGACCACGCCCCCCAGCCGGGCTGCAGGCTGTCGCTGAAGGTGCGCAGGGCCCGCCCCGGCTGCGGGGACAGCTCCGTATTTCCCTTCGTATTTATAAGCGTGCATAGTTCTTCCCTAGGACTCAGAAACTGAAAGGGCACTGGGGATCGCCTAGTCTCATAGTTTCAACCTTTTTTTGGGACAGCACCGAAACTGCTCAGATGAACAGCAAGCCTCACGAGGGTTGGTGTGCTCCGGTCCTGTTAGTTTACCCTCTCAGTTTACATCCATTTAACAAAATGTGCATTGGGCCTAACGGAGAGTAAGTCTGGTCCCTGGTTTTGCAGGAGACACAAGTACAACACAACAGTAATTTAGGGATACAAATGCAACTCTATCTGGGAAGGAGGAAGCGGCCCCTAATTCAGCCTTGGGCGCCGAGGCTGAGCCTGGCCCCCACGAACGACCGCGGGGTCAGCTAGCAGGGCCACTAGCGGGCAAAGGCCTTCAAAGCAGGGAAGCAACCTTCCCAGCAGAGACCACGAATGTGCAGTGCGGGAAGGAGGGTGGAAGGGACAGGCGAGCAGAGCAGCGCCCGGCCAGGACGACAGGCTGGAGGGAAGTCCGCGCGTTCACTCGCAGGGAGTTGAGGGCGATGTCCAGAATTCCGTATGGGTATGCAGTCTGAAGCCCTGGATAGGGGAACATCCTCTTGATTCCACATACAAGTGGCTGGAGATGTGGCTCAGTGGCGCAACATCTGCCTGGTAAGTACAAGGTCCTGAGTTCAACTCCCAGTCCAAATAAATAAATAAATAAATAAATAAATTATAAATAAAAATCGAACTCTACATACAGAAAAAGAATTGGAAAGGAAGTGTTTTGGAAAATGTTAACTGCTTAACTTTGAATTTTGGCCATCTCTTACTCATCTTTTTTATAATGGGCATATATTGTTTTTACAACCAACCAAAGCATATGTGGATCTATCTTTAAATTTGTTCTCCCTTAGGTTTTTAAAAATCTTTTAACAAACTTAAGTCATACCACATATTGCCTGTATTTTCACTAAAAATTTTACTTAGCAGTATTACACAGCTATGAAAACCATACTTCACAGCATTTAAAAGCATATGCCTATAATATGGGGCTCCTTACACCAGGCTGCATGAGGGTTAGTTGGGTCCTGTTAGGCTATAACCAAGAGAAATCTTTTTTTTAAAAGAAATCTCGAGAATAAACGAGTGCTCATAGGCTATCTACCACTTTTTTCTTATTGTGGGGACTGAACCCAGGGCCTTCCTACTGAGCTACATTCTCAGCCCCCTAACAATTTTTTTGAGACAGGTCAGTTGTGCCATGTTTCTAAGTTGCCCAGGTGTGGCTCAAAATGGAACTCACATTCTCAGAAGCTATCTTCAGGATTTTGCTACTTTTGTTAGAGAGAACTGTAATTCTTTTTTCTTTTTTTTTTTTTTGGTACCAGGGATTGAACTCAGGGCCTTGCACTTGCCAGGCAAGCAAGCGCTTATTCTACTGAGCTATCTCCCTGGCCCAAGAACTGTAATTCATTATCACTGGAATAGTCTTGACTTTTATTTTCAAAATGCTCAAAGGAAATTTTATTACAGTATCACCAATTTACTCCTACCTGTAACAGCTCTGTGAAGTCCGAGCGTCAGCATGTCCATGACCCCATCCTAGCAACTAGCTAGGCTGCACTTAGCCATGAGGAGAGGTTAAGGTGGAATCCTGGATACCAAGTGATCCAAAAGCCACATTTTCCAGAGAAGACAAGTCCTGTAGTGCTAACTCAACATATTAAATTTAGGTTTCTTGGACGTAGGTAGCGGTGGGTGTACTGTCAGACTGCAGATGTCAGAAAGGCTGGCGGAAATACCATCAGGACAATGTAAAAAGATATAGCCATGGTTATCTGCACCTGAATGGATCCATGTTAATACACAAATTGACTACTATATACAGTAGAGCTTTTATTTAGGGATAAAAGGCAGTATGGAGAGCCCAGCAAAAGATAAAAATCTATTAAAATTTGCTATTTTTTTTAAAGCCATGAATTAGGTTTTACTTGAAATCTTCATTCAGATTGCTAAGGAAGTTTAGGAAACAATACAAAATCAATTGTAGGGCATCAGGGCAGGTGTAGTGGCACACGCCTGTAATCCTACCACTCAGGAGATGGAGACAGAAGGATCATTGTGAGTTCAAGGCCAGCCTGGGCGACCCAGTGAGCTCAAGGCCAACCTGAACGGCATAGTGAGACCGTCTCAAAAAGGCAAAATAAATAAAATTAAATAAAAAATAAGGGGATCAGCGGTTATCTATGAGCAAGTTCTACTGCAGTTGCTTAGCAAATAGGAAGTAACTTGAAAATCTCAGTATGACAGCAGTTCTCAAGTATGTCTAATCCTGAGGAGTATCTGGGATGCCTCTCACAAAGATTCTGCCTCCAAAGGTGGCAGGTAGGCCTGAGCCAGAGGACAAGAATCTATACCACAAACACCTCTCAAGTGACCAGAAATAATCAGGCAGATTTGAAAAATACTGGCTAAGGGGGAATGCAACAGCAACAATACACCATGGCTACTGGTCCCTCACTGACAGACAGCTGGCCAAGCCACCTGGGAATGGAAACATTCACTGGAGTTCAGTGATTATCTACAGAACACAGTTTATTTAAAGTCCAAAACACAAAATTACCCACTTCTCATAACAGACCATCATTTTTACCATATGAATACTTAGGGCTTCTCTATTCACAAGTGCAGGTTTATTATTGAACTATAGGCTCAAATATTCATATATATATTCATATATATGTATATATGTGTGTGTATACACACACACACACACACACACATACACACACACATACTGGTTTACAGAGGACATGTACTTTAACAAACTTTTTTAGAAAATACACAAAAACACAAAGCATTTCCCAAATTTTAAGTCCTCATAACCACTCTTCAGCCAAGATTTGACCAAAGACTATTTTCCACAAAATGTTACAAGATTAAATAGAATGTAGTATTTTATACATTTTAGCTTATGGTTGCAGTTCAAAGTTCCCCTTTTGATGGCTTTTGCATATATCTATTAAACAGAAGTCTTTAAACTGATGACTTAAATAAAATTGTTTTGGTGTGATTTGTCTTCAATCAAGAACTTATATGATCATGACAAAGTCCTATGATTAACATATATAGAAATTTTAGTAAGGATCTTCTTTAGCCAAATAAGGGAAGAATTTAGTATTTATCAGTACAATATCCTGTATTGTATTGCATTTCATAACTATTGCCTGGAGTGCTATTACTTCTAATATAATCAGTTGGCATCAAAATATAAAGTGAAAATATGTACACTTTTCTATATCAATACCTGAATAATCTCAGATTGCTTAAGAATGTTCCACAAAAGTGGAATTTCCTCCTGAAGCTACACTGCGTACAGCTCATTAACCAGCGCCTGCTTCTCCTTCCCAAGAGCTCCCCTCATCTGGAATCAAATGGACAATCTTATTACCGTGTCATAATGCACTGGCTTACAGTTATGCATATAAAATCCAACTCAAGCTTATTTTGGTTTATTATACATGCTTTATTAAAATGGTACTCATATTTACAGTATCTGCAGAAAGAGTCCCTTCCAAGGCACTCACACACATCCAGACACACCCACACACATCCACACCGAGGCCCCACACTCCCACACCCGTGAGATGTGAGCATCAGACTCCTAAATTAGGCAGCTTCTGTAAGGGGATAAGAACTGTTCATCTGATTTCCA